ATAACACTGAACAACTGATAAATAACACTGAACAACTGATAAATAACGCTGAACTACTGATAAATAACGCTGAACTACTGATAAATAACACTGAACTACTGATAAATAACACTGAACTACTGACAACAACTAACTAATAATTCAACCTCAATGTCACTACCTGTGCGATAACCTGTCACACAACCCGTGTGGTATATGTTGATTAAGTGCAGTATATATATATATATAATACATATGTATGTATTATATGTATATATATCTATATAAACGTGCATTTTAGCTTATATTACTACCTTAAAATACTTATTCATTCAAATTCGTCATGCTGCATCATTATATTCTACCATGTTGTTATTCAATATCTCTCTTTAGGACATTGTAAATATTGTCATTACTTTTTCACGTTTTGGTACTTTTTTGTGTACCCTTATTGCATGCCTTTTAGTATTTTCTTGTTGGTTTGTTCTTTGGTTTTTTAGCAAGTCAAATCAGTTCTTCTCATCCAGAGCATTTCATCAACCCTGTGTTAACCTTCATATGACAAATAGACACAACTTGAACTTGAACACGATGGTTTAGATCCTCCTCTTGTCTTCAGAGTTGCAGGAAGTGATGACATCTTGTGTGTGCAGTAGAATTCTGTATTAATGTGTGTGTAGTGAAACAACCTGTGTGTGTTCCAGCTGCAGACGTTGGGAATAATCAACAACTCCATCAGCAGCCTGGTGTCTCCTGAGGCGTCTCTGATGTCTGGCAGCTCTGAATGGCGCTTCATGAAGGAATATGACCTTCTTTACTGTTTCCGGCGCGACTCCAATAAGATCCAGAACTACCTGAAGATCCTCAAGTGTCGGATTGTTCCTGATCATGGATGCTGAGAAGCAAATTGACTTTAGTGTCTTTATCATCTCTGGAATGAAAATGTTTTCAAACAACACAAAGGTGCAGAGGATCTGTCGATGCTCACACAATTTGTTCAGTTCTGTCCAAAATAAAGACCTTCTGGAAGACGACTCAAGTCCTAACATGTCTTACATTGTGGCATGTTGCCTTTCACCAGAGTTTTAACCTGCCACACATTACAACAAGAATCCATGAAGTTTTCATTTCAGTCAAATTTTGAAAATAACATCAAGTAATGTTAGGTTTGTGTGGGATCTGAATAACTCTCAGCTACTACCAAACAACGTTTTAATATTATATCTGCAAACTCAGTTCAATTTAATTCAGTTTATTTATAAAGCTCCAAGTCACAACAGAAGTCATCTCAGGACACTGAACAGAAAGATCCATCCTTTACCCGCTTCTTCCATTTTGGGTGACGGGGTCGCCGGTGCCCATGTCCAGCAATCACTGTGCGAGGGGCGGGGGACACCCTGGACAGGTCACAAGTCCATCACAGGGACACAGAGAGACAAAAGAGACAAACAAACACCAAAACAGTTCAATCTGGTCCTCTGGACATTCAAAAAAACAAAACAAAGCAAAAAAATGTAGAAACGTTTCGTCTCTCATCCGAAAGACTTCCTCAGTCTGAGGTGCTGTATTCAGCTCAGTCTCTTAAATAAATGACACTCCTTAGTGACTTAAACACTTATGAACCTCTGAAAAGAGATCCAGGAAGTGGTTACAAGAAGAAGTTGATAGATTGCCTGAAAAATTTTGGAGCAGGACAAGGCTATTGACCGTATTCTGTACCACAGACTGTACCCAGGGGAGGCCACACCTAGTCTGTATGGTTTACCTAAAATCCACAAACAAGGTGTACCTTTAAGACCTATTGTTAGCATGATTAACTCTGTCACTTACAATGTTTCCAAATATCTGGCGTCTGTACTCATCCCTTTAGTTGGCAGCTCAGAACACCACATACAGAACACCGTGGACTTTGTGGACAAGGTGAGGGATGTCATCATGGAGACTGATGAAACAATGGTCTCTTTTGATGTCACATCACTCTTTACATGCATTCCTGTTGATGATGCAGTAGAGGTGGTCAGTTTAAGATTAAAATCAGACACCACTCTGAGCAGCAGGACCACACTTTCCACAGAACAACTGTGTCAACTCTTGAAACTGTGCCTGCAGTCAACCTACTTCACATATGGGGAGCAATATTATAGGCAGAAACATGGGTGTGCTATGGGGTCTCCAGTTTCTCCTATTGTTGCCAACCTGTACATGGAGGAGGTAGAAAAGAGAGCCTTGACGTCCTTTTCAGGGACACCACCAAGTCATTGGTTCAGGTATGTTGACGACACCTGGGTTAAAATTAAATCTCAGGAAGTCCAACATTTTACTGACCACATCAACTCTGTGGATAAATACATCAAGTTCACACGAGAAGATGTAAAAAATGGCAGGTTGGCTTTCTTGGACTGTGAGGTCTCAGTCTCTGATAGAGGACATTTGCAAACCGAGGTGTACCGCAAACCCACCCACACAGACCAGTATTTGCAGTTTGACTCCCATCACCCTTTGGAGCACAAGTTAGGAGTCATCAGGACTCTGTACCACAGAGCAGACAGCGTCCGCACTAACTCACACCTAGGGACAATTTAGAGTTACCAATCAGCCTAACATGCATGTTTTTGATTTGTGGGAGGAAACTGGGGTACCTGGAGAAAACACACATGCACAGAGAGAACATGCAAAATCCACCCAGAAAGGCCCCAGGACCGGGATTTGTACCAGGGACCTGCTCGCTGAGAGGCAGCAGCTCTACCACTTGTGCCACCGTGCTGCCATTGAGTAGAAACATTCATGTATAAAATAATAATTTAACAGAAACATTCATGTATAAAATAATAATTGAACATTATTTATCTGAGGAGCAGCTTTGAGTTTAACTCCTTCACTGAACTCTCATCTTGAACAAGCATGAAGGCGACAGTGGAAAGAAAAACTCCCTCATGAGGAAGAAACCTTTAGCAGAACCAGGATCAGGACAAGAGGACCATCTGCTTCGACCGGCTGGGTTTGGTAGGAATAGATACACAATGGCAGGTCAAGAATCACACGTTAAGATAGAAATAGTATCAAATGAAAACTAATTGGCCGGGATGAGGATCAGTTCCTCCAAATCCAAGGCCATGGTCTTGATCCGGAAAAGGGTAGACTTCCAAACTGATGAAAAACTCCTAAAGAACATACACCAGCAGCTGACATGGCACCCCAGACCATCACTGACTGTGGGTGCTTCACACTGGACTTCTGGCATTTTGGCATTTCCTTCTCCCCAGTCTTCCTCCAGACTCTGGCACCTTGATTTCCGAATGACATGCAAAATTTGCTTTCATCCGAAAAAAGTACTTTGGACCACTGAGCAACAGTCCAGTGCTGCTTCTCTGTAGCCCAGGTCAGGCGCTTCTGCCGCTGTTTCTGGTTCAAAAGTGTCTTGTTCTGGGGAATGTGGCACCTGTAGCCCATTTCCTGCACACACCTGTGCACGGTGGCTCTGGATGTTTCTACTCCAGACTCAGTCCACTGCTTCCGCAGGTCCCCCAAGGTCTGGAATGGGCCCTTCTCCACAATCCTCCTCAGGGTCCGGTCACCTCTTCTCGTTGTGCAGCGTTTTCTGCCACACTTTTCCCTTCCCACAGACTTCCCACTGAGGTGCCTTGATACAGCACTCTGGGAACAGCCTATTCGTTCAGCAATTTCTTTCTGTGTCTTACCCTCTTGCTTGAGGGTGTCAATGATGGCCTTCTGGACAGCAGTCAGGTCGGCAGTCTTACCCATGATTGTGGTTTTGAGTAATGAACAAGGCTGGGAGTTTTTAAAAGCCTCAGGAATCTTTTGCAGGTGTTTAGAGTTACGTCGTTGATTCAGATGGTTAGGTTAATAGCTTGTTTAGAGAACCTTTTCATGATATGCTCATTTTTTGGGACAGGCATTTTGGGTTTTCATGAGCTGTATGCCATAATCATCAGTATTAAAACAATTAAAGACCTGAAATATTTCAGTTGGTGTGCAATGAATCTGAAATATATGAAAGTTTCATTTTTATCATTACATTATGGAAAATAATGACCTTTATCACAATATGCTCATTTTTTGAGAAGGACCTGTAAATGAACACGAGGAGCACCAGAGCAGCAACAAAGAAGATCTGACAGCATCAAGGAAGTCTGGGCTCCCATAACTCCCAGTTAATGCCACAGGCTGACTGTCTCAATTCCATAACTCCCAGTTAACGCCACATCGAGGAAGAGATTAAGACAAATATTCACAACCAACTATTGAATCAGAGTCAGAGTTTCTTTATTGTCATTCGCACCTCATGTGGTACATGTGGTGGAGCGAAATTATGTTCACAGGGTCCCAGTTACATCCAACAATAAAATGTATAAGAAAAACAGTAATA